TATGTTTCGTTGAAATATGTTAAGTACTTGTGAGATGTCTGCTAACTATCTGATTTAATAATTATATGCACAGATGTCAACACAAACATAAACTTTATGTGGATTATGCTAAGCTTTGTTGAAATGTTTTGAAGAGTTCTAGAAATATCAGTAGAACAGCACAACATTTGGTAATTATAATGCAAAGCATAAAGGTAATATAGATGGATTTCAACTAAAATATAATCAGGTTTATACACTGTCTCTAAGTATCAAATATGAACTCAAAAAATCACAGTCATAAAAAACCATAGTGCAAAATGAACGAATTTACACATACCAGATTACGTACTGTACATATAATAACAACAAATGTGGCCTCATAAACGCAATCAAGCAAAACGGACAAAGCATGAAGCAAAACAATAACATTATTTTAAAATTGTACTGAAAAATATAAATGGTAACTAGAAATAACAACAATACAACATTGAACAAGCGAGCACGTTAGAGTACTTCGTACCTTCTTTGAATATCCAAAATCAGCCGGACTGATCTTTCGAGAAAATCTGGAACTCTGTCATTATGAACTCTTTCTGCCCTGTTCGGTAGAGGTGCTCGCACTTGAATGTTGCACACGTAAATCCACAAAATAAACAGTGTACAAAAACCATAAAACCAAGACGCGAATTTAACCCCAACACCCATATTGCTAGTTTAAAATACAATATGGCGCAAGCACGTGACTCATTAGTGAGATACAGTGTACTGCCAACGCCGTACTAACAACTTTAAATCGATAACGCCTTACGAATGGCGTTATTGGCATCTTTACACCAATAACGCCATAAGCTATGTCGATATCGCTTAAATGAATGGCGTTATTTACAACTTTGCATCATAACGCCATAAGCTACGGCGATATCGCTTAAATGAACGGCGTTATTGGCATCTTTACATCGATAACGCCATAAGCTACGGCGATATCGCTTAAATGAATGGCGTTATTGGCACATTTACACCAATAACGCCATTAGCTACGGCGATATCGAATAAATGAATGGCGTTATTGACATCTTTACATCGATAACGCCATAAGCTACGGCGATATCGCCTAAATGAATGGCGTTATTGTCATCTTTACATCGACAACGCTATAAGCTACGGCGATATCGCCTAAATGAATGGCGTTATTGATACTTGTACATCGATAACGCCATACGCTACAGCGATGTCGTCTTAATGAATGTCGTTATTGGCACATTTACATCGATAACGCCATTAGCTACGGCGATATTGCCGTAGCTTATGGCGTTATTGACAATTTTGCATCGATAACGCCATAAGCTACGGCGATATCGCTTAAATGAATGGCGTTATTGGCATCTTTGATCCGTGGTACATCGTGCCCATTCCAGGATGTAAACTCGTTCTTACAATTAAATAAATACAACATTAGTATATTAGGCCCATTTTATATGATATTTCAATCGTGTGCATGCGACGGAAAACTTAATATATTGCCAAATATTTTGATTTAAATTATTTCCATGGGATAGCAAATTTAGTATTTTTCGGCAAATTTGTAATTCATTATCAGTATCAGTGTGTTTAAATTTCCGCGAATTAACATTATGGCATTTTACGTCTGTCAAATAACGGCCAAATAAATACGTGGAATCATTAATTACTAAGGACCTGGCGTAGAATTTGAAATTACTCCAAGTAAACACATGTCCAATTCGGGAACAGGATAATAGTATATTTGATTATTAATAAAATAGTAGGGCGCCACCGGGCGGTTGGGCTTAGCAAGTGCGTCGTGTTTCTCTCATGAAGTTGACGCTGAATGCACACAAAGGAAGCCGCTCATCCCGCCACTGGATAGCAAAGAACGTGGAGATGATCCGTGCTACATCGTGACCAATAATAAAATTATTGGTTTTCCAACTGTGGGCGTGTCTTTTATTTCATTGCCAAATGTGCAACACCAAAGTCCCGCCGTTTATTTGTCATGGTTGTTCGACCATAGTCGTCTGCATCAGTATCACGAGTTCTAAGTTTAGTTTACTATGTTGGTCGCTCGACACCATATTCACCGCCTCCCTCTCGGTACCTACGCCCAACTCGGCGTCTTGGGGAGGAAATCTACTCACCCCGCCACGCCATCTCGATACCTCTCTTTCCCGGAAACATGCTTTCCAATACGAGACTGATTTCTCTATATGTTCGGCCATTTAATATCATATTTTGGACAAGATTTGTTATCAATTGCTGCTCCAAATCATTCAGAAAATGGCAGCGCAAAAACCGCGCAAATTCATTTTACCGCCACTTTACAACGGTTTTCACACAGACACCAGTTAATTCCGTTACCCAATGGCTGAAGCAATTTCACATCGACCAGACACGCCCAAAACAGATGACAAGATTTGACAGGATCGGCCAATGCGCATGCGTTTAAAACAGCTGGTAATAATATCCTAATTTCGTAATAACTTATTTGCACTTGTACAATGCAAAATACATATTTGATTAGATTGGTTGGCCATCAAGTACCATCCTATGGCACCCAATTCATATATCACAAATACCATAGTACAGAGTTATGTTAACAACGAGTCAAAAATAAGACTAATATACTAAATTTGTATTTAATTAATTGCAAGGATGAGATTACATTGTAAAATGGCCATGATGTACCACGGATCGATAGGGCTTTGCACGTCGGAATTTTTGCGGGTGTTACCCTGTTGGAATTATCGGTGACATGGAAGTGTCGTTGTCGGTGTCTACGTATTCTTTGGTCTCAGAGGACTTTATCGCTGGGGATTTCCCGTCCACCACGTGTATTTGTAATTTCAGTGTCCCACTATTTGAGCGCACTGTGTTGTCAGTGAGTAGAAGTTTAAACCGGTCATTCCGTGGTAAATCCACCTTTTGGTTTTCATCATCGAGTACTTGAATGCGTGTTGCTTCCATCCGACCGAGGTATTCAATTTCTCTGTTGATTAGTCCAACAAAATCTTCGAAAGACATCTGCTGTAACCGAGTTTCAGTGATGTAAATTGGGGTGATTCGTACACTTCCATAGTACATATAATGTACTTTGATTAACATCTCCGGCTCGCGAATTTCCATCATCTTGAATTTGTCTGGCACAACTAGCAACCTACCTTCCGCGTGTGTAGGAACGAACTGGGAATATTTGTTCTGTTATTCAAATCAGTTTATTTGTACCGAGCCGCCATGGTGTCTATCGAAATGAACAAGCCTTGCTACATTTTAATTTTGTTGTTGTTGACCTGTCAATCACGCCTTTGATAATTACCGGGTTGTTGCCAACATTTTGAACAGATGAAGTAAATTTCAAAACAAACTGCCTGACCAATTGTAACGACTTATCAACATCTGACTGCAGTTCTTCGTGTAATCCAGGGGTGAAAGGGGTGTAATTGTAAGGGTGAGATTACATTGTAAAATGGCCATGATGTACCACGGATCGTTATTGGCATCTTTAGATAGTTAAGACAATAACTTATGCTAATTGCCTATGTGGATCACGAATTTAATGTTTGCCGCACTATTTCTGCCGAAATCCTTTACAAGCGTGACGTTACTGACATTTACGTTTGATATAAAAAGGAAAAATTACATTGAACATATCATCCAACACACTTTGTTATCGACAAATCGCCATTGATAAAGCCTCGATGATTTGATTTAATTCTAAACACCATTGACTACTTCTCGGTTAGTTATTTCTTCATGGTTAAACACTTATAACACGTTTATATCGATATCGCCTAAAACCAAATATGATCTATTGATAACGCTTCTTGCTAAACACTTGTGCAATCGTTATCGCTTCCCAGCTAAACACTGTTTAATTGTTAACGTCGATATCGCCATTTAGTAGCAACTTCATGTCGATATCGACTTTCAGTCTAAACACTTGTTACCCCACCACGTCAATAACGACCCAGTGATGTCGTTATCGCCTAATTAACAACGTTATCGCCAAACGCTTCTCAATAACGCTGCGTTATTTTTTGCACTAACGGAGCATAAATATCGATAACGATGTTAGGACAACGATAACGACAAATACACATCGATAACGACATTTGGGCTTTCTGATTGGGTAATTTTAGTCGATATCGTCTTATATTTTTGTCGTTATTGCCATCGCTTAGTCGTTATCGACGCATGCTATTTATTGCACTAATGGCCCGCCATACACACCTCCCTCTTGCAATGTGGGATTGTAATTTTAAAACTTATAACAAACGCCCTCAACGTCCACATCGATCAACACAACAACAATCAAGATGGCCGACCACAGCGAGAAACATGTGACGGAAGATGACAAAGCTACCCCGGCTAAAATGAGAAAATTGGAAAGTGGGGATGCTGCAGAAGCCCGAGATAATTTTGCTGGATTCAAACTAATCAAAGTGCTCAACGAAAACACACGAAACAAATGCATATTTGTACACGGCAGTTTCGAGGGTTCAGACGACGATGCGGTCGTGTTGATGGAGAAGACGCCGTTTGATAAACAAAGTATTTCTGCCATGCTGACATCGACTACAGATCTCAAACAAGTTATGCAGAATGACATATATGGAGTGTACACTAGTTCACCGCCTCCAGATCTTAACGGTATTAACATAATCAACTCAATAGAGGCCCGGGTAGGTAAATGGTGAGCCTCACCAAATCCTACAAGTCGGAATTACTAGTATAATCATAGACCTGTTTTCTAAGGTCTATGGTATAATCGTGAACGGAAAACACAATTTTTCCCAACTAATCTGACAAGAAATCACGGCTGTCTAAATCGAAATCATAACAAGATACTTCACGATGGTCATCTTGCATCAACAATGACATTCACCAAAATATTTGTCTGGGGTGGACCGCATGCAATAAAATTTAGAAATCTTTTTTCCCATTTTTCACATCACTTGTACTTGACTAAGATTTAATGAATATGCAGAGCAACAAAATATCTTTGTGGTGGATCAACAATATAAAGGGGTCATAGTTTGGTTGCCATTTTACGAATTATTATTTTACCAATGTTTAAAATCCCAAACCATGGCAGTACCGAAAAACTTGATACAGACCCTTATAACTACCTCAACCTTAGATTCTCTACCAACTTAATGCAAACGTTTTCCCAGATTTCCTCAACTAAACCTTCATTCTTGCGGTTAAATGGATGTTTTGCATGTGTATGTTTTGTCAATAGTAAATATCATGAAATAGCAGACAAGGTAATATTTTGTTGGTTGAAAATATTTAAATTCAAAATGTCAATGAAATAAAGTTTGATAGATGATTACTACTATTCATTTTAAATAAATAAATTATACAGCTTGTGAACTGTAACTTTCAATTTTGACAATAATTAAAATTAAACTTGATAATCTGGGTCTAACCATGAAACAAATGTCAGTTTTGGCATATCAGAATGGCTTTCCAGGATTAGCATTCATCTATATGCATTGGTGTTTAGTCTGCGTAGAATGGCAGTTATCCTTAATTGGTAAAAGAATCTCTGCGAAAAATTGAGACGGGTTGTTTATTTGAGTTTATTTGTCACTATCATGCACCTCAATTTAGTAGTGATTCATAATCATTAAGGTACAGTCTAATATTCAGATTTGCAACTATGTTTAGAATGTTGAAAAATGATATATCAATATTTTAGGCCAGTTTGCATCGATTAAAATGTCTTGTCCACTCACAATCATGCATTTACAGATGTAATACACTGGTATAATACAATATACATTATAATTCAAACTAAATCATATATTTATTAATTTTTAGGAATAAATACAACTATTATATATCCAGCCACCGATCGTCATATCATGAAATACTCAGCTCAACAAATATACTTAATAAATGAAACAGCAGAAGAATATCAGGAAATTACGCTGCCATTTATTGAGTCACAGCCATTCAGTTTACAGGTGTGTAGTGTAAATGTGGTACTAAATAAGTTGAGTCAAATCTGCTGCTATTTATGTTGCATTTTAACTGTATTTATTACATTTATCGTGCAAAAACATGATAACTGTTTTTCCAACCGACTGATAATTTCTTGCTTTAATGTCAAATTTGTGAACATTGCTTTATCTAAATCTATCAACCTCATCTTGGTAACACACATAATTCATTTCACAAACTGTTTGCCGATCACTCCTGAAATGTGAGATTGAACTACCACAAAATTACATGAAAGGATGCCAATGCTGTAACCATAGACCTTAGAAAATAGGGACATGCAACCTTATAATTACTTAACCAATTAACACCTCAGAGGGACTGAAAAAAATAGCCTGAAGTAAAAATTATGAAGGTAAGGTTTATATTTCACAATGAAAACAGGAAAGGAGCAAAAATCTACATGTAAACAATGACCTGTAAATTTGTCGTCATATTTAGAACCGATATAGCCTAGTCCATCTGTCATACTGTGGAAAATGTGAATATTGGCACAGCATTATTTATCAAACATATAAACAATAAATACCAGGTATTAATGGGATTAGCAGTACTGGAGATTATAACCCATGTTTGCACACATGGATTTTAATTTGTCAGAGTTGCATGTCCCTGTTTTCTAAGGTCTATGCTATAAATATATTGATGACTTCATTGAATTAATCGAAGGTAATAAACTGTCGATGTTCAAGGAGTGACATTCTGGTATGCAAATGAGATCAGATGCACTAATAAATGTGCATACACACATATTTTTTATTGAGGAAATAGTTGTGAATCAGATACATGGGATCAATAATAGAATATAAAATATCGTCATCAGATTCATTAATATTTGTCCCTGTTTTATATGTTCCTCCACTCAAGGGCCACTTATTTGATATCCTCTATATAACAAAGATAAAATTATAATGCTCTTTCTCAAAACTTTTTTGACCTAATAGAGGTTTTATGGTACATGTATAACAATTTATATTTCATATCTTACAGTGGGTTTACAACATTCTTGATAAAAAAGCCGAATCTGATAGAATTATTTTTGAAGATGAAGACACAGACACTGGATTCATACTATTGCCGGATATGAAATGGGATGAAAAACTGACAGAAAACTTGTATATTATTGGTATTTGTCATAAAAGAGGAATTAGGTCGCTCCGTGATCTCGGAAGAGAACACCTACCACTGCTGAATAATATAGCAAAGAAGGGGAAGGTGAGGAAACTATGACTAGAAATTTGTTGTGTCAAACAGACAAGTTATGTAGAGAGAGAATACCGGTAGCTTACACAAGCCATGTATGTCCCTGTTAGTTATCAAATTTAAGATAGTAATATAGTTTTAACATAAACATTACAGAGATATGAAAAACAAAATGACATATTGTCTATTGTATGTAAGACATTTGAACAAAAACCATCTATAAATCGAGATCTTGTTCTGGAATGCCAGAAAAGCTTTATTGTTGATGATTTCTGTCTTTTTGAATTGGATTGTCTAACCAATACATCTGTATATCTATGACATGATGTATGAATATATAAAATCCAAACATGGCAGATATATGGCACTAGAACTGCATTCATTAAAACAAAATGGCCACCAGTCGGCCATTTTGAATCTAATCTGAAAAACAAAATGATATGCATCAAGGTCCCATAATGTCCAATGCATGTACAAAGTTGGAACACAATTCATCTGTAAACAGCCGAGATTCTGTTCCGGAATGCCAGATATGCTTGATTTTTAAACACAAAAATGAGCACCATTTGGCCATCTTGAATCAGATCATGAAACACATTGATGTGCTTATGAGGTTATTACGAAGACAGTACAGCAGAAGTATTGACCGATGCGACCGCATACTGTCTGAGTGCACACTTTGCAGTATCCTCATAATAACTTAATTATTATACATCTTTTCTTCCCAGGAATACATCATGGGAATGCCGAAATACAAAACGTTTAGAACAGATTTAGTGAATTTCATTGTGTGGGGTCCGATCAAAACCTGGGGGCTGCCATGTTGTTATTATTAGAGGACCCTCATGCACGTAATCGTTCCATATTTGGAATCCGCGTTTCCTAATATGGTAGTATGAAAATACCCAGTGCAATACTGCAAAAATAAGGCACGCTGTAACTAATGACGTTGCGGTGACAGATGTAGAATAATATTATGTATGATGTATGTGTGAAGTTTGAATGTTATTGGTCCAGGCTTGTCTAAGATATAGGTCCAGACGCACACATGCATGCACAGAAGTCCTCGTCTTCAGATATTGTCCAAAGAGGTACTAAAAAGAGAATATTTTAGATAGGCAAGTTATAATGTAAAAAGAGAATAACTTTGGCAGACAAGGTATAATGTAATGCATTTTTGTGTTCAAATCCTCTAATATTGCACATTCTAAATTCTTCTTGTATATTTTCCTTTCAGGAAGCTATATGCACCAAATATGGAGTGAAAGAGAATCAGTTGCGTGTATATCTGCATTATCAGCCATCCTACTATCACTTACATGTTCATTTCACCCATGTAAACTTTGATGCTCCAGGTATGAATATTGGAAAAGCTCATCTCTTATTAGATGTCATGGAGAATATTGAAATGCAAAGTGACTATTATCCTAAAAAGACCTTCACATTTACTGCAAAAGAGAAAGATCCACTTTATCTGAAATATAAAGCTGCTGGAAAGATGTAAAAACTAGCTTGTTTTATACTGAATGAAAACTACATTGTATATGTTGAAAAAAAATGTAAAATGTGTTCGTGTTACTGAAGGATTGAAGACATAGTGGTATTATTCTGGTATTTTATTGCTCTTACTTTGTTGTCACAGTTTAAAATTTATTTTGATTTAAAATAAATATTTTCAAAATATTTTTAAAATGGTGTTCCTTGTATACTGTGTGAGTTGTGTGTCTGATTGTTCATATTGTGATAAAATGGTGATTGTTGTTACATTAACAACCCTATCTGTATAAGTTGAGTGTGGCTTGTACTGATCTTTTTGTTGTCTTGTCAAATTAATGTGTACCGGTAGGTCATGGAATGTGTTTGAGTTCACTAGGTTTAGCTATACATGACAAACAATGTTTTGTGGAAAGTGATGTGGTAGTGATACTTAGATATATAGCTTTGGTCCTCTGTTTGTAATAGAATAGATCTGTCTCTATTTAGCACTGTTGTTACTCTTATTAGGATAGATTATTGGTCTTGAAAGCCAGAATGAGTGGAATGAAAATGACAGTGCCAGCAGTTAGGAGTGTGATCATAACTGTCCTATCATAGCTGTTCTGTCATAGCTGTCCTATCATAACTGTCCTGTCATAGCTGTCCTGTCATAGATTTCCTGTCATAACTGTCCTATCATAACTGTCCTATCATAGCTGTTCTATCATAACTGTCCTATCATAGCTGTCCTGTCATAGCTGTCCTGTCATAGCTGTTCTATCATAACTGTCTTATCATAGCTGTCCTGTCATAGCTGTCCTATCATAACTGTCCTATCATAGCTGTCCTGTCATAGCTGTCCTATCATAACTGTCCTATCATAGCTGTCCTGTCATAGCTGTCCTATCATAACTGTCCTATCATAGCTGTCCTATCATAGCTGTCCTGTCATAGCTGTCCTATCATAGCTGTCCTGTCATAGCTGTCCTATCATAACTGTTCTATCATAGCTTTCCTATCATAACTGTCCTATCATAGCTGTCCTGTCATAGCTGTCCTGTCATAACTGTCCTATCATAGCTGTCCTGTCATAACTGTCCTATCAAAGCTGTCCTGTCATAGCTGTCCTATCATAACTGTCCTATCATAGCTGTCCTATAATAGCTGTCCTGTCATAGCTGTCCTATCATAGCTGTCCTGTCATAGCTGTCCTGTCATAGCTGTCCTGTCATAGCTGTCCTATCATAGCTGTCCTGTCATAGCTGTCCTGTCATAACTGTCCTATCATAGCTTTCCTGTCATAACTGTCCTATCATAATTGTCCTATCATAACTGTCCTATCATAGCTTTCCTGTCATAGCTGTCCTATCATAACTGTCCTATCATAACTGTCCTATCATGACTGTCCTATCATAGCTGTCCTATCATAGCTGTCCTGTCATAGCTTTCCTATCATAGCTTTCCTGTCATAACTGTCCTATCATAACTGTCCTGTCATAACTGTCCTGTCATAGCTGTCCTATCATAGCTGTCCTGTCATAACTGTCCTATCATAGCTGTCCTGTCAGAGCTGTCCTGTCATAGCTGTTCTATCATAACTGTCCTATCATAGCTGTCCTGTCATAGCTGTCCTATCATAACTGTCCTATCATAGCTGTCCTATCATAGCTGTACTGTCATAGCTGTCCTATCATAACTGTCCTATCATAGCTGTCCTGTCATAGCTGTCCTGTCATAACTGTCCTGTCATAGCTGTCCTGTCATAGCTGTCCTGTCATAACTGTTCTATCATAGCTTTCCTATCATAACTGTCCAATCATAGCTGTCCTATCATAGCTTTCCTGACATAACTGTTCTATCATAACTGTCCTATCATAGCTGTCCTGTCGTTGCTGTCCTGTCATAGCTGTCCTGTCATAGCTGTCCTATCATAACTGTCCTATCATAACTGTCCTATCATAGCTGTCCTGTCATAGCTGTCCTGTCATAACTGTCCTATCATAGCCGTCCTGTCATAACTA